AGCGCCGGGCTTCGCGACCCCGAGCGCTCACCCTCGGCGGCTTCGAGCCCCCCACCTCCGGCTCCCCCCGGGGAAGGGAGGAGGCTAGGTGGGCGAGGAAGAGGAAGGGGCGGGCGGTGCGAGCCCTCTGCCCGCTCCCCTCCGGCCGCTCCAGGCCCAGCGCTCGCCTCCCTTCCCCTCTGGCCTCGGGAGCTGCCCCGCCCCCGGCCTGGCCGGCTCTGGTCGGTGGCACCCCCTCGACCCCCGGCTGGCTGTGATCGCGGGGGGCCTAGAGGTGCATGGCCCAGCCCCGGCTCCCGACACCGGGGGGTCAGGAAACTGAGCGGAAAGTGGGGAACGAGGCAGCCATTTGCAACCGGAGAGGAAAGTAGTGCAGCGCGGCGCCGCTCCGCCTCCCCCCCTCCGCCTCCTGTTCGGCCGGTAGGGTGGTTCCTGCGAAGGGGCTATTTCCTGGCCCGAGATCCGGGCAGCGGTCGTGGAGATTCGTGAAGCCTCCGGCGCGAGATCCAGGGGGGCCTTTTGCCCGGGGAACCCCACTCAAGAAGGGGAGAAAGGAGAAGATGCGGCCCTATTTTGTGTTGGAGCGGAGCGGCGGAGGGATACTGCCCTCTCGGAGGAAAGGCTGTGACTCTGCAGTTCTACGCACACGCTGCGGGATCCTTCCGCCGCGGGTTAACCCCGACAGCGCCGGGCAGGTCGCTGTGCAGACACGTGGGAATGAAGCCCCCCTCCTCCTCACCCCGGCCCTGGAACTGCCTCCTTTACTGCCCGGGCCGTGAAAGTAGGACTCCGGCCACTTTCTAATTCCGTCCCCTTGCAGTCATTGGTCTCTGAAACTCCAGCTGCCCCCTTGCTTTGGCCAGGGGCAATCTTTCCCGGGAGGGGGATGGAAGAAGAGCCAGGAGATTGGCCGCTGCTCTGCATCCTGGGAACTGGAGTCCGCAAATGGAGAAAGTGAGGCACGGCGCCTGGCGCTGCAAAGGGTGGATTCTTGCCACGTTCGGGGACCCGAAGGATACCGGCGAGTCCTTAGTCGTTCCTTCTGGCTTCCAGACCCCCTCGTGAGGAAGAACTGTCGGTGCCCACACAATCACCACACACACCTTCCCATCAAAACATAAATGTAGAGCCTCCCGTCCTTTTCAGGGTCCCCCACCCCCACCCCAACCCCAGTCTTTCCGGATCTTCAGGACCTCTGCCCCTTTTTTAGTAAACTGAGGTAGCCTCGCCGCTACCTGGCCGGAATATTGTTACTCTGGACAAGATCCCGAAACACACTCCTTGCAGACAACCCTCCCCCATAAGTCTGGATGAGAGGAAGGGATTGGAATGCCTTTTCTGCAATCGCTGGTACACATGTGGTAGACAGGAGGAGACAAATTAACTATGTGCTAGATACTTTTTATATTCTCACTCCCATTATGAATTACGTGGAATTATATCCATATTAGATGAAGCAATTGAGGCTAAAATAGGTAAAAATTACCTACAGAACTACATCTACTGAGAGCCGTGATTCAAACCAAAGGCCATGTTTTTCCTAGGGTTAAAAAATATACATACATTCAAAAAAGAAAACATGGAGAAAGAGGCCGGTCCAGAGCTAGTTTTGTGGGAAAGGGTTTACAGCACTAATATGGCTTTCTGCAATGAGGAAAATAAATGCATTATATCTACACTGTCTACTTGGTAGCCATTAGCCACATGTAGCCATGGCGCATTTTGAAATGTAGGTATTACAACTGAGGAAATAACTTTTTATTTTAACTAAACTAAACTTAAATAGCCACATATGACTTGTTTCTTCCACATTGGACAGTGCAGGAGGCTTTAATCCATTCTGGTCAGGGTCATAGGAGGGATCTGGACTAGGCATGTCCTTTGCTGGTCACAGACTTGCATCACGTTCTCTGCACTAACTACTTAGGTCTGTCTGAGCAAAAAACTCCAGCAGTGACCCCACGCCTGTTTCAGTTATAGAATAAATTAACCAAGAGACAGTTGAAAATGGAAGGCCCCTCCCTACTCTGCACCCAGAGGCAGGGAGAGGCAGACCCTCACCAGAAAGACCTCCAGTAATAACACAGATAATCACCATTTCTTAAAAGCTTATTACATACGAGGAACTGTGCTATATTACCTCGTTTAATTTTCACTTCAACCCTATGAAGCACATCTAGCCACACTTTAGAAATGAGAAACTGAGGCTCAGAGAGGTTAAATGACTGCCCAAGGCCACATAGCTAAGAGGAGGAGCTATTAAGCAGCCATTAACTACCATTCTTTACTGTCCCCAGGCCTTGAGATTACTTGATAAACTAGAAAACTTCAAATATTTGTAAGTCTACCCCCAGACCTCATGAAAATGGCAATGGAAAAGCAGGCCCTGTAATGAGTATCCCAGGTCAGATGTGCAAAAGGACTTAATTTTAATATAAGGAGAGAGGGTGTTGGCCACCCTGAAGTATGTTTGGAGTATGTTTCTTCCAACAGCCCTCATTTCTTTTTAGACTCTGGATCAGAAAAGCAAAAGCAGCTGTCAGAACTTCTGAAAATCAACATGACAAACCATATCCCCAATTGTAAGTCTGAAACAAGCATTGACAAAGTCACAGCCCCAACTCACACCTAGATTTTATCTATTCTTCCCAAGTAAGTACATTGACAGGGTACGTCAGGCTGCCCTAGATGGCAACTGTACCATCCCTGTGAAGATATGATACCATTCAGATAATCCTTACAAGTCCTTGCAAGAGATATTAGACCAGTTAGGCTCTCATACTATTATGGACAGGAGGGGAGGTGGTGTCAAGAAAAGTACAAGCCGGGTGCAGTAGCTCACACTTGTAATCCCAACACTTTGGGAGGCAGAGGTGAGGATTTCCTGAGCCCACGGGTTTGAGACCAGCCTGGGCAACTTGACGAGACTTTGTCTCTACAATAGATCAAAAAATTAGTCAGGTGTGATGGTGCACACCTGTAGTTCCCATTCCTTGGAAGACTAAGGCAGAAGGATCACCTGAGTCCAGCAGGTCAAGGATGCGGTGGCCATGAGCCTGCCGCTGCATTCCAGCCTGGGCAACAGAGTGATACTCCTACTCCAAAAAAAAAACGTACAGGCAAACAGGACCAAACCTTTCTAGCCAAAATGCCAATCCTACTGAGGTGTTAGGTCAATACGTGGGGGGCAGGGCGATTGATACACACCGGGAAAATTCTTTCTTACTTTACGCTTCAACTCTCTTGGCAAGTCGAAATCTTCACGGCACTTCAGTGTCTCCCTCTACATTCCTTCTCAATTCATACATCATTAGGAATGAGGGGCTTCCTTCCTCCTCCCCTTTGAGTCTCTACAAATGCCAAGGGCCCCAGGAAGATAGCTAGGTCAGCATGTTGCAGCTGGCCACTAGAGGGTGGTGTTTCTGTGGCTAAGGGGCTCTTCAGAGGCTACAGACTTGGATGGGAGTGGCAGCCAACTGGACTCAGCATAGGGGGAACCCATCAGAATAGAGGATAGGAAAGGCAAGTAATAAACCTTAGGATCATGGCCCTTAAGAAGTGAGGAGCAAGAAGTAGAAACAAGGTAGGAAAAATTCCCCACCAAAGACCACAGCCATCACTCCTTGGAAAAGGAGATACTGGCCCTGAGTTCGCTCTCCACAGATACAGAGAAGTCAACAACAGATTTCTCAGTTTATTTGCATATTTACATTGTCACTCCAGGGAGCCAGCTCTACTTCAGGAGACCCCAGCTCCCTTTGCCCAGCCAACACCCAAAACCTACACAGGTACATGGGTCCTGTAAAAACAATGCCCAGAATTCATGTCCCAACCTCACAGCATAACTCATTCATCTGAAACAGAGGACTAGAGGCCAGTGCCCATGAAACAACTTGCCCCTTTGTAAACATTGACAACCAGGCCACTGGAACCTGGGGAAAGAGTGCAAACATGAGGATACAACACTGCGTACCCAGAGGGCCAGGGACACAGCTGGCAACCATACCCGTGAAGTCCTGAGGGCCTGCTCCCCACTGGAGCCTGGCAAGTACCAGGGGCAGAAACAAGGCAGGTACCCAATGTCCAAGGGCTCACATGAGATGGCAGCGATGCTCTTGCCCATAGGAATTCTCCACACGGGCAATCTCATGGATGACTTTGATGAAGATGCCTTGAGTCAACTACAAGGAGTTCAGGGCAAAAGTCAGTACAGTGCCAATGTCAATCAGCTCTGAGGTGAACACCCTACTCCCCACCAAGCCCACCACCAAGCAGTGCTATAAGAAAAACACTGCTACCCCCACCACCCTCCTAATCTTTAGGCTTGGCACCTGATTCTCTCGAGCAGAAGACTCCATAAACGTTGCACCCCAGGATTCTGCCAGCTTCTTTCCTTCGACTGCCTGTACTTCTCTGGAATCAAATTTGGGACATAAAGATGGAGAACAGAAATGTCTCCCAAAATCTTTAGAAACAAGGTTTCCTCTGATCCATCCCACTTCCCTAAAAATTGAGAGGAGAGTTGAGGAAAGAGAAAAAATATAGGTATACAAAGGAATAATGGATAAATCTAGGACTGAGGCTTGAAATATGAAATTGTGGCTTTTGAGATAGAAGCGTATCTTGTTTTAAGCCTCAAGTTAGAGACAGAGGCAAAATGACTTGTTTGAGTCAGTGGTATAACCAGGTCGAGAGCCCGACTGATTTCTAGTCAAGCTCACTTTCCTTCGCCCTATGTGGCAGAGATTTACATACCTGTTTGGAGAAAGGTCTGCCTTGTTCCCCACTAGCACCACTGGCAGCCTGTGAGGAAACAGTAGTTACTGCAGGATCCCCTCTCATTCCCTCACGTTCCCCAACTCCTACGCTCAAGGCTGGACAACTCCTCATCAGCCTGGACAGGATCTACATCCCAGCCTCTTCTCTAACTTGAACATTTCTCCCTTCTGCTCTCTCCCACTCCCTTGTGCCCAGGCCAACTTACCGGGTTTTCCCATGGCCTTCATATAGCTTTTGGTATAGACTTTCAATGACTCGGAAGCTTTAAACGTAAGAAATGGAGTTATAACCTTAGTTCTGGGACAGTCCTTAGGCCCTCCCAGGTCCCCCCACTCACAACCTTGGTCACTTACCTATGCAGAGAGGTGACAGAATACACAAGCACATACCCATGGACCCCAATGAAGAATGAATAGGGCAGAATGCTGTACTCATCCTGACAAGAGATAGAAACATCAATATCTAGATTCAAACCACTCAGATGGTAAAGGTTGGTGGGAAAACATCCAGGTAACCCTCCCTGGGCCACTCCCTAATACAATCACTTCTATTCAACAAGTATTTATGAAGCAGCTCCAATGAGCCCTGCACACTGTTAGCAGCTAGAATGTTTTGAATGCTACTTTACAGATGAGCCACAGAGACTACCAGGCTTCATTTCCTAGGGCTGCACTGCCACATTTGGATACCCTACCCCAACTGGTACCTGCCCTGCTGTGTCCACCAGGTGTAGGTGAAACTCATCTTTGCCAAGAGTCACTATCTTGCTGTAAGCTGAAAAGGAAAGAAAACTTGACTGTGAGGTGCCTTGTAAGGCCAGTAATGTGTGCCCCCTTACTTTTATTTTTTTAATTTTTAATTTTTTAGAGACAGGGTCTCACTTTGTTGCCCAGGCTGGAATGCAGTGGTGTGATCATAGAGCACTATAGCCTCAAATTTCTGGGTTCAACCAATCCTCTTGCCTCAACCTTCCAAGTAGCTGGAACTACAGATGCACCTGGCTGCCCACTTGCCTTTTTTTTTTATTTTTTTGCAACATTTTCTAAAAGTGAATTCTTTTTTTTAAGTTGATGCATAATACACAAAGTTTCCAAGTACATATGATAATTTAATACATTCATATAATTTGTAAAGATCAAATCAGTGTACTTGGAATATCCACTACCTTAAATATTTGTCTTTTCTTTGTTAGAATCATTCGAGTTCTTCTCTTTTAGCTATCTTGAAATGCACAATAGATAATTATAAACCATAATCTCCCTACTGAGCTAACACTAGGTCTTATTCTTCTATCAAATGGTATATCTGTCCCCATTCATCAACTTCTCTTCATTCCCCCCTCCTCCCTTATATGCTTAACCGTGGGGATGGCACAGATAGACCAGCTCCAGGGAGTTCTCCAGGTAACTGGAGAGACATACTAAGGTTCATAATTGTTTGCATCTACACTCTCCTGGACTCCGTATCAGAACTTCCCCCCCTAGCTACTTATAAAACATAAACAGGATTACTAGAGGAGAAATTAGATCTAATGTCTAAGTAAATCAGTCCCTCAGCTCTAGGGAAATACAAATTATGGAATTGGATGGGGCACCCAGGCCCTCTGGATCACATCCCAACTCAGTAGGAGATAATTCTACTCACTATTCTCCACTGTAGGATCATAGCCTTCCAAGAACTCGCCTTCCACAAACTGATGTGCCAAAGATGTCTTCCCTGTGGGGAGCAGTGGTAGTTGTATCCAAATCATTCATCCACATTCACATCCTCTGTCCTTTTGGATTGTGGCCCAGGACCAAAGGGTACCCCAAATTAGCACCCCAGTCTGTGAGTGCCTCAAGTAGTGCCTTCCCTTAGCCTATCCTCTCCCTCTTTTCGCCCACGGTCTCCGCACTTTGGCTACCGGATGCATTCAGAAGCGCCGCAGGAAGCCTTTCCCGCCGCCTTTCCCCACCCTAGCCGATCCCCAGGAAGACCCAGGATTCCCTAGAATCAAGTCCGCCCCACCCCAGGACACCGGCGACTATCTGCCCACGCACACTGCGCCCCCACCTTCAAATCCTGACCCCACCCCTACCCTCAAAGGAACGCTTGGAGACCATTCTGAGATTCCCGGAGCCAACTTTACATTAACCCTTAAGTGGTCCCGCTTCCTGAAGCCCTTCTCACACCACCACCTTTGCTGCAGCCCTCCACATCACCAGCCTTTTCTTCTTTCACCCTTCTGATCCTCGCTCTACAACCCCCTTCTTACTGTGGCACCATTCCTCCCTGGGTCGCGTTCCCGTGGCAGCGCGCCTCTTCTGGCCACAAAGCCGCTGTGCGAAAGAGCTCACCTACAGAACGGTATCCGAGGATGACCACCTTCCTGTAGCGGACCAGCGGCATGGCAGGAGCCCGCCCCAGTGCCTGCAAAACTGCGGGCTGAGAGAGCCCGAACAAGTGCAGGTCAGCGTGCAAGCAGGCGCGGCAACCGGTGCAGGAAAGTCGCTCACCCTGAAGCTGCCAGGGCAAGCTAGAGGGAAACCAAAACAAGCGCCGCGCCCGGAGCTGGCCACGTGATCACAACACAGCACGTCTAACGCGAGGGAGCCGGGCGCCGGGGGAACTACAGTGCCGCGCCGCTCTGGGCTCCGCCCCCCAGGCCGCTCGTCATTGGTCCTTTAGAATGAATTAGGGCGGGGCCGCCAGCGGGAGGGAAGGGAGGGCCTCACGTGGAGCAGAAGAACAGGAAGCTGCGCGTGCGCAAATTCGAGCCGGTTCATTCATAAAGAAACAGAAAGGAACCCGGGTCCTAGAGGTGTTTGCGCATTTGCTGCCTAGCTGAAGGGGCTGCGAAGAATCGTGGAGGGAAAATACCCCGTATGGTTTCTGGTCAAAAAATTCTAGGCCTAATTTTGCAAGGTCTCTGGAGCCCTTGGATAGGAAAAGAAAAGGCCAAAATTTCAATATATTTCCTCTGCTTCTCCGGGCTTCAGCCCCAGACCTTTTTAACAGTCTTTCAGTATCTAACTTCGGAACTGCAATTCTAGTTCTTGCAAAAATTGCTAGAATCTGTGTCTGAGGTTTCGTCGTCATCATCATTAATGCACTCATTTTTTTCAACAAATATTTATTGAGGCTGCGCGCAGTGGCACATGCTTGTAATCCCAGCACTCTGGGAGGCCAAGACGGGAGGATTGCTTGAGGACAGGAGTTTGAAACCAGCCTGACCAACAAACTGAAACCTCACCTTTACAAAGAATCAAAAGAGCCAGGCTCGGTGGCTCAGCCTGTAATCCCAGCGCTTTGGGAACCTGAGGTGAATGGACTGCCTGAGCCCGTGGGCTTGAGACCCACCTGGGCAACTTGGCGAGACCTCATCTCTACAATAAAATCAAAAAAATTAGCCGGGCGTGGTAACGCACGCCTGTAGTTCCAGCTACTTGGAAGG